TGGGCCGCCCCGAGGCTCGCAGCTGCGCCGGAGACGCGGTGGCGGGTCTCGCGCATTCCGGAAAAGGCCCCCCGGACCATTCGAGGGTCTGCCAGCCGTTGGGGCAATCTTTTTCATGGGGCGCTTCAGGCACCATCGAGGGAGTGGTGGGCTGGGAACTTGTTCGACCATTTGGATGGCGCTGCCGCCAGGGAAGAGGCAGTCAATTTAATCAGGGCCGAAGCTGATGCTTACATTTCAGAAGAGGCGTCGGGGGCCTAGGAGAGATGGAGGTCCCGGGCTGGGCCAAAACCCAAGCCTTGGGTCTTGCTCGAAGACTTGTGGTGGCTCGGGTCCTCGCAGTGGATTGTGCCGATTTTCGTTTCCAGGGGTCGCGGTGCGTTCTGGCGGCTGTGCGATTTTTTTTGGGGCGCCCGCGACGCGTCGCCAGCCTGCCTGGTGGGATGAGACTATTGCGGCCAGGGCCGCGTCGGGTCGCCGGGCCCCCTTCCGAGGCGCGGCCCACCCCGCGTGGGGGGGCGATGTTATTTGGGCGAGCTTGGCGCGAGACGCTGTGCGAGCAGCCGCGATCAGAGGAGGAAGAGGAGGCTGTTCTGGTGGGCGGTTCGGAGGGGTGGAGCGCGCGACGCCGGCGCGCCTTCCGAGGGCTTGTCATAGACTCACTGCTGCCAGCACCGCCTGTCGACGCATGACAATCAGCTCCGACCCGTCTGCCTCCCGCCCTTTTTCGCGGGCGCTTCGTGCGCCTTGCGAGCGCAGTGTGGCGCAGGGTCAACATTCCTGCAATGGTCGACCAGGCGACCTCGTGCTCAAGCGGAGCGCCGCTCCACTTTTCAGAGAGATTCGCGCGGGGCCTCCTTCCTGACTCTTGCCAGATCGTGACCGGGGGGCCCTGAGGCCCTGCCGCCGAGTTTCAGATGGGAGGTCTTTCGCCGCCGTTGGCCCGTCAAGGGGGCCGCGTCTTCTGTGGCGGGAAGGGGCTCGACATTGGGGTTCCCTTGGTCCGAGCGGCCGTGTGAGGGGGTTGACGATTTATGATTAATCTTTATTTTTTCGGGAGGTTGGTTCGGAGCGGCCCCTTCGTCCACCCTTCCTTCGCAAGTTGCCAGAGACGGGGGGGGCTGCGTGGTCCACGTGGCCGCTCGTTTCCTCGCTGGGTCGTCCGCTGTGTGCGCGGCCTGCGCTGGCGCCCTCTTGTGTTTCGAGGGCGCCAGGCGGGCTGCGTGTGCTGCGAATTCCCGCGCCCGCCTTAAGACGCAGTGCTTTGATGTGGGAGGTTTTGCCGAGGCGCGTTTCAAGAAAGAGCCCGGGCACGCCGCTGAGACGTTCGCGAGGGTGAGCTCACTGCCTTTGAGCGGCTGGGCAACCGCGGGTCTGATGCCTCAGCCAGGCGAGGCGCTACTGCTGCCGGGCCCTCCGACCGAGAGGATATCCTTCTCCTCGAGGATTTCTGGGGCCTCGCCAGATCCTCGCTCAGGTTTATCTGCCAGGCCGAGGCGCACTATGGCGACGTCGAGGTCGATGGCAGTCTAGGGGCCGGAGCGCTGACCATGGTCTCGTTCGAGGCCCCATCAGGTGCGGAACTCGTGGTCCCAGAAGGCAGCCTGGTGCGCGGGGTCCGAGCCCCCCTCCCCTCCCCTCCTCCTCCTCCTCCTCCTCCTCCTCCTCCTCCTCCTCCTCCTCCTCCTCCTCCTCCCTCCTCCTCCTCCTCCTCCTCCTCTCCTCCTCCCTCCTCCCTCCTCCTCCTCCTCCTTCCTCCTCCTCTTCCTCCTCCTCCTCCTCCTCCTCCTCCTCCTCCTCCTCCTCCTGAGGGCTATCGGTTGCCACCTCAAACCGCTGTCCCCGCGGGCGAAGCTCGCCCGTGCTCTGCTGAAGGGCACGCGGTGTGGGGGTTTCCAGTGCTCGAGTCGCAGGGCGCGTTTCCTCTTCTGCACCACTTGTGGGGAGTGGAGAGCATGACACCATTTCCAAGCGTGCCCGAGGCCCCCGAGGAAAGTGCCAAGGTCACGAGTCCTCGCTCCACTGCGCGGGTCCAAAAAATCAGATGCGTTCGCGAGGTTGGTGCACCCTGGTAGGGATCAGAGGCTGGGGCCTCGTCGTCTTCCTGGTCGGAGGGCGGGGGAGCTGTTCGGTGGTTGGCTCGGGGTGACTCCGGGCGTGCAGGCCCCAGTTGGGGCCCAGGGGAGCGTTCGTGTTCCCAGTTTTGTTGGACCGCACCATCTTGTGCATGGCAGACTTCTGCCAGTGTTCCAGCTTCAACGAGGAGCATGCCCGAGCCTGGGGTAGCTGGCCAGCTGGAGGGCCGAGGCCGACTCCGAAGACGAGTTTTTCTAGGGGGTGCCCTGTCGGGGTCTCTGGGGCGGGGATGGAACCCTCCCTCCCCTCCCCCTCTTCCTCCCTTTCCTCATCCCCTTCCTCCTTCTCCCTTCCTCCTCCTCTTCCTCCCTTTCCTCATCCCCTTCTTCCTTCTCCCTTCCTCCTCCTCCTCCTCCCTTTCCTCATCCCCTTCCTCCTCCTCCCTTTCCTCCTCCTCCTCCTCCTCCTCCTCCTCCTCCTCCTCCTCTTCCCCATCCCTTTCTCCCTCCCTCCCTCGTTCCCTCCCTCCCTCCCTCCTCCTCTCTCCCTCATCCCTCCTCGCTCTGCCCTCCTTTCCTATCGGATGCGTCGTAGCGGGCGCAGGCCTGGGATCTCAGACGCCGCCTGCAGGCTGCGGGCAGGCGACTCAAGCGAGCAGCCGCTCGAGCGACTGTCGAGCAGCGCGGAAGGCGAGCACGCCTGCTTGCCAAGGCTTTGCGACCAGCTGCAGGCGTGCCAGGATGATGCAAAAAGCGGCTCGATGCTGCAGCGCAGGGTGGCAGACGCAATAACGAACGGCTGGGACAGACCTCTTCCACCTTTTCTTCCTCCCTCTCCTCCTCCTCTTCCTCCTCCTCTTCCTCCTCCTCTTCCTCTTCCTTTTCCTCCTCTTCCCCCTCCTCCTGCGCAAACGCCACGCGCAGCGATCCCTGCTCCGCCACCGCGTCGCGCGCCTGCCCGCCCAGCGGGCTCACGCCGCAAGCGGCCGCGGTGTCCGCGGACGCCCCGGAGGGTCAATGCTAAAGGGGGAGGAGGGGAGAGAGGAACGAAGTGTGCCGTACCGTAGTGTGTCGTAGCCCGTAACCCAGCCTCCTCCTCCTGCTCCTCCTCCTCCTCCTGCTCCTCCTGCTCCTCCTCCTCCTCCTCCTCCTCCTCCTCCTCCTCCCCCTCCTCCTCCTCCTCCTCCTCCTCCTCCTCCTCCTCCTCCTCCTCCTCCTCCTCCTCCTCCTCCTCCTCCTCCTCCTCCTCCTCCTCCTCTCTCCTCTCCTCCTCCTCCTCCTCCTCCTCCTCCTCCTCCTCCAGGTGGTGTTGAGGTGCAGAGCGGCGCACGGGCACGGGCAAGGGCAAGGGCGCAGAGGGCGAGGGCGGGCGGCGGCCCGATGCGGGGCGAGGTGCTGGGAGGCAGTCCAGCCGGGGCGGCGAGAGCACTCCCGAGGGCCCCGAGGAGGTGTGGCCCTCCCGCCTCCAATGCGTTTGCTGGTCGCTTGCTGGCGTTTGGGTGACGCAGCTCTGCGTGGCCCCTCCGGCCGCTCCAAGGCGACGCACCTCGCCCTGCGAGTGCCCTCCGTCGCTCCCCTCGGGTCCCCTGCTGCTCCCTCCCCCCGCGGCCGCCCGCCCGTGCCCTTTCCCCCCCCCCCGGTTGCTGCTGGACACTGCGCGCCTGCCGTTTCCCGGCCTGGGTGGGCGCGCGTGCGGGCTGCTCCTGCCACGCTGCGACGTGAGCGTTGTTCAGTGCGTCCTCGAACGCTGCTCGGACTTCTCGCGGCCGGGGACTGACAAAGGGGCTCTCCCGTCGAGCAAGCGCGATCCGCTGGAGAATTCGATCCGAGTCTCGGCAGCGGCTGTGGCAAGCAACGCGATGGGTAATTGTTTGATGGATGGGCCTCAGGTGCCAGTGCTCTGCCCCTGCTGGAGCCTTCGGGGTCTGATCACAGGCTGCTGACATGTCTGGCTCCGTGGCTGTAGCCATGCAAAGCAATCTCTGAAACCACTCGTGCTTGAGCCAAAATGGCCACGGTCATCTACCCCGGCTCCCTTTGTGCGACCTCCATCGCGGATGTCCCTAGGAGGTCTCCAGGGGCCTCTTGAAGTCTCCGCGTGTCTCCAGAGGCCATCAGGGGTCCTTGCGATTGGGAGGCCTCTGGAGGCCTCTGGAGATCCAGAGAGGGCCAACAACGCCCGCCTTCGATCGGGCCCATGTGCTGCGGCCCCATCTGGACGGCCTCCATTTCCCTTCTTTCTCTGTCCCAGCAAGCGCATGCGCCGTGGCTCCTCCTCCCCCTTTTCCTTCCGCCGAGCCATCGCGGGCGCGGCAGGAGGACGAAGGAGGAGTCCCCCCTCCTTCGCGACATCGTGGCTGTCCACTTCGCTTCAGGCGTCGTGGTGGCGTTCCTCCGCTCACCAGGCCCCTCTTCCCTTCGGGTTCAGGTGCTCTGGGCCGACCAGCCGGGGTCGAAGTAGAGGGGGTCGGAGAATCGCGCCGCATCGGCGATGCATCAGCTATGCGGCTCGATGTTGAGCCCGATTTTCTTCGCGCTGGCGGCGCCGACCGATGCATCGCCGACGTCGCCGACGCATCGCCCATGCATCGGCGATGCGTTGGCGATGCGGCGCGATCCTCCGACCCCATTTGCTCGGACCTCATTTGGAAGGCCCCCAGATGTTGCATGCCCGCTCGCGTCCCAAGGATAACCCCCGAGACGGCCCCTTTTAGTTGAGTCTCCTCCTCAATTTTCTGGCCGCTGCATGTCTACGTTTGGGATTCATGTCCCTCCAGCGCACCACCTATCGCTTGCACTTTACATTGTGCGACGTCTCGTACTCTGTGCCTTCGGCAACGTTCGATCGCAATTGACACTCCATCTGCTGCTCACGCTTGATGGCCTTCTTCGTGCCGACTCAAAAGAGGCCCCTGCCGGCGCAAGGCCCCGCAGCTCGTCGCTGGGCCGGTCGCGCCGCCGCTGCCGCAGGCCGCGGCAGCCCCGCCGCTGCAGCTCCGAGGCGCCGACCCCCCTGGCGAGGGTCTGTGCTCTGCGGTTCTCGGCGGCCTCAGCGCCCTCCGTCCTCCCTCGGTGGCTCCCCGGCGGCCCCCCAGCGTCCCTCGGCGTCCCTCGGCGTCCCTCTGCGTCCCTCGGGGTTCTTCGGCGTCTTCCGGGGCCCCTCGGCGTCGGTTGGGATCCCTCGGCGGCCATCCCTTCGGCGACGCTCGACGGCCCTCGGGGGCGCTCGGCTGGCTTCTCTCGGGTGCGTCGTCGCAGTCGTCCAAGGATCGAGGTTCGAGGGTCGTGGTTCCTGGGTCCTCCTGGGCCTCCAGGGGCGTCCTCGTGGCCATCGCTGCATCTGCCTCGAACTTCTAGTTTGAACGTGTCGCACGGTTTCCGCCGCCGCCGCGGTCGCCGCCGCCGCCGCCACCGCCGCCGCCGTCGTCGTCGTCGTCGTCGTCGTCGTCGTCGTCGTCGCCGCCGCCGCCGCTGCCGCCGTCGTCGTCGTCGTCGTTGTCGTCGTCGTCGCCGTCGTCGTCGTCGTCGTCGTCGCCGTCATCGTCGTCGTCGCCGTCTTCGTCGTCGTCGTCGTTGTCTTCGTCGTCGTCGTCGTCGTCGTCGTCGTCGTCGTCGTCGTCGCCGCCGCCGCCGCCGCCGTCCTCGTCTTCGTCGTCGTCGTCGTCGTCGTCGTCGTCGTCGTCGTCGCCGTCGTCGCCGTCGTCGTCGTCGTCGTCGTCGTCGTCGTCGTCGTCGTCGTCGTCGTCTGCGGCGGCGGCGGCGGAGGGATGGTGCGAGGAGGGTTCGGGCTGGTTCAGGGCAGGCGCTCGGTTCGGCCGTAGGAGGCGATCTCCAGGGTTCTTTTGTGGAGTCATCCGCGGGCTCTTTGTCGGAGGTCGATCCTCCGAGGTTTCAGTCGAGGGAGGGCGAGGAAGAGGAGGATGAGGAGGAGGGGGAGAGGGAGGAGCAGGAGGAGGAGGAGGAGGAGAAGGAGGAGGAGGAGGAGGAGGAGGAAAAGGAAAAGGAGGGGGAAGAGGAGGAAGGGGAGGAGGAGAGGAGGAGGAGGAGGAGGAGGAGGAGGAGGAGGAGGAAGGAGGAGGAGGAGGAGGAGAGAGAGGAGAGGAGGAGGAGGAGGAGGAGAGGAGGAGGAAGGAGAGGGGGAGCTGGATATGACATTGAGGAGGAGGAGGAGGAGGAGGACGAGGAGAGGAGGAGGAGGAGGAGGAGGAGGAGGAGGAGGAGGAGGAGGAGGAGGAGAAAAAGGAGGATAAATAGATACGTAGCACCCCGCAGATGCGGAGAAGAGTGATGGGGGCGGCGGGAACGTCGGCAGTCTGCGAGGCTTCGAAGAAGCCCGCCGCAGGCGCAACTCTTTTCAAGCTATACAACGAGCCCGCCGCAGGCCCCGATTTTTTGTTGAAACGATGTGGGTGGGTCGCGGGTTGGGTCGCAGGTGGGTCGCGGGTGTGTCGACGGTGGGTCGTGGGTAGATCGCGGGCAAGGTCGCGGGTGGGTCGCGGGTGGGTCGAGGGTGGGTCGCGGGTGGGTCGCCGGTGGGTCGCGAGCGGGTCGCGGGGTGGATAGCGGGTGGGTCGCGGTTGGGTTGCGGGGTGGGTCGCGGGGGGGATGATGATAATAATAATAACAAGCAGAATCTTCATTATGGATTCACACTTCAGCCACGCACCGAGGGACAATGAATGACCGTTCGGCCCCCTCACTCTGATGAGTGATAACAGAGGGGGGTGAAGGAGGCCGACGAGGAAGGGTACAGTGGGAAGGCGAGGAACAATGACATGAACGACGACGGCAAAGACGATGACTAGTATTTCGGGGAGCGGATCTTTCGCTTGTCACTTAATCGTTCGCCGCCGCTTCTTGCACATGATAACGCTGAGGGGGCATGCAAACAAGAAAGAGGAGGAAGCGGAAGAAGAGGCGGGGAAGGAGGAAGAGCAGACACATATGAGGACTGAAAGGGGGATTCTGCGATTCAATCGGAGGGACAGCATGAGAAGGATGCGCGTGAGAATGGGCTGCAGGATGAAACGCAACCTGCAGAGCAGGATGACGATTACTTTCAGCATGGTGATGATGATGAGGCGCATTCTGCTGCTGCTGCTGATGATGATGATGAGGATGATTATGATGCTGATGGTGATGATGTTGATTCTGATGATGATGCAGATGAAGGTGAAGCTGCAGTTGATTATGACGATGATGACGATGCTGCTGAGGATGATGATGATGCTGCTGATGCTGATGCTGATGGTAATGATGATTATGATGGTGCTGCTGCTGATGATGATGCTGCTGATGATGATGCTGATGCTACTGATGCTGATGGTGATGATGCTGGTGAGGGTGACGATAATGATGCTGTTGCTGCTGATGCTGATGCTGATGCTGACGAGGATGATGCTGATGCTGATGCTGATGATGATGCTGATGCTATGCTGCTGATGATGATGATGACGACGGCCAGCTGCACAATAAGTCGGCACCCGTTTTGCTGCATATGTTCATTCTTTCATTTAAACTCAACCAAGTCTCCACGATCCAGTGGACTCGACTTTGATTACCATTCAGTAGCATGTGGCTTGCAGCTACTGTGCCAGTGCCGTCACTCAAACTCGTTTTGAATGCTACACACCATGTGTCCTTCATAGTGCACGCTCCCGCGCTGTTACATGCTCCTTGTGGCTACTACGGCGGCTGCTAGATAATGTCGTTCATGAGCTACAGTACCAGCGTTCTGGCACGACGACACGCAATGAGGGACCAACATGTACGCCAGCGACAACATCAAATGCGCACACCGCCTACGGACACCGATGGTGACACTAAGTCTGGACTCCACACGTTGATCAGGCGCTTCACGGCCCTTTTCGACTCTGGTAGGTATCCTTTACAATAGGGCGATTACTGGTGATACAAGCATTCTGAACAGGGGCCTTCTCCACTCCACGCACTACCAGTGTTATGTTTCCGGCCAAGAAGTAGTCCATCCATGAAACCAATACTCGTGCGTTGTGAATTCTGCACCTGCCACTTTTCCGCTGCCTCGCCCAAGCGTCAGAGCTGCCCACACCAGTCGTGCGTCGCCACGCGGCTGCGACGGCTCTGCATTCGAAGCCTAGACGATGACATGCGTGATGTCGGTTGAACTTCACTGTTTTGACTGCCACTGCGCTGATAAGTTCACTTGGGGACTTCGCAACGGTTCCTTGCTGCACAACCCACGGCCGAATGCCCAATTCTTACGTCATGCGACGAGGCAGCCACACCCGTGTCCTTGCGGTAACGGCGTGGTCGCGATGCACTCGCGTGGAGCTCGAATTCTTGCCTCCTCGCTGCTTCCTCCTCGCTTCTCTTCCTTCGCTTGTCCGTCCGTCTCTTCCTCTCCTCCCTCCATCCTCCCTCTTTTCCCCTCCTTCCGCCTCCCTCGTCCTCATCCTTCCTCTTCTTCCTCCTCATCCTTTCTCCTTCCTCCCTCCTCATCCTTCCTCCTCATCCTTCTCCTTCCTTCCTCCTCATCCTTTCTCCTTCTTCCTCCTCATCCTTTTCTCCTCATTCTTCCCCTTCTTTCCTCTTTTTCCTCTCTTTCCTCCTCATCCTTTCTCTTTCCTCCCTCCCTCCTTCCGCCTCCCTCGTCCTTCCGCCCCCCAGGGTCGCCGCCCAGCGCTCCCGCCCTGGATGCGGTCGAGCCCCCCACGATCTCGGTGGTGCTTCCCTGCCTCAACGAGAGCGAGAACACAGTGCAGGACACAGCTGCTTTTGGTGTGGAGGAGGAGGAGGAGATGGCCGAGGAGGGGGAGTATGAGGAGGAGGAGGAGGAGGAGGAGGAGGAGGAGGAGGAGGAGGGGGAGGAGGAGGAGGAGGAGGAGGAAGGGCAGGAGGAGGAGCAGGAGGAGGAGGAGGAGGAGGAGGAGGAGGAGGAGGAGGAGGAGGAGGAGGAGGAGGAGGAGGAGGATGGTACTGCTGCTGATGATGATGCTGCTGCTGATGATGATGATGATGATGATGAGGAGGAGGGGGAGGAGGAGGATGAGAAGGAGGGGAGGTGGTGGTCGGGGTGAAGGAAGGAGAGGAGAGATGAGAGATGCGAGTGGGAGGATGCAGGCAAGCTAGGCGCGCTCGCGCTACATCTGACATCATACCCCCCCTCCCATCCCTTTCCACTGCGTTGGATGCTTTCCTATTCGCCGATTGGGATGTCCTAAATGACCTTGATCCCTAAACGACAGCTGCAGGATTTGATCCATCGTTGGTTGTGCAACCAGGAATGGGGGCATTTGCACATTGGAGGGGGAGGAGAAGGAGGAGGAGGAGGAGGAGGAGGCGGAGGCGGAGGCGGAGGAGGAGGAGGGAGGAGGAGGAGGAGGAGGAGGAGGAGGAGGAGGAGGAGGAGGAGGAGGAGGACGGCTGAGATGGAGGATGTCGAGGAAGAGGAGGGGAAGGAGGAGGGGGAGGAGGGCGAGGAGGAGGAGGAGGAGGAGGAGGAGGAGGAGGAGGAGGAGGAGGAGGAGGAGGAGGAGCAGGAGGATCAGGGGAGGGCGGAGGGAAACGGAGGGGGAAGGTGACGGCGAGCATGATTTTTGATGGACCGAGAGCATTCTGATTGAAAGGTACTTATAAATGACAAGCTTCTGAAACCCAGTGAAATATCAACAGAAAGAAAAGCGGCGCCAGACAAGCACGGTGTCAGGGGAGAGAGGAGAGTATCATTCGTGTCGTGCCCTCGGCAACTTCCGAGAGGAGAGAGGCAAGCCAGGTGCGCGCGTGCCACATCTGACGCCCCTCCCCTCCCATCCATCCTCCTTCTCCCCAGAGGACCTCGGCGTCCAAAAGGGCAGCTGCAGGATTCCTTCACCTCCTCGGCGGCCCTCGGCCAGTGGCCCACCCTTCCGAGGCGGGGACCCGTGCACGACCGCCGCGCCCGGGGGATCGCTCGTCGGAGACCCCGGCAGGCCGCGGACGCGGACACCTCCGGGCCCCGGGGGGGCCAGACATGTCCGTATCCGCCGTCGGCCGACGTCCCCGAAGATGGCCCCCCCCCAGGCGGTGGTTATCGGATGGGGCCAGGACGAGGACGGATCCGTTCCGAAAGCGTTCCGGGACGCTCTCGGAGCGTTCCAGAGCGCTCTGAGAGAGGACCGCGGCGCCCGAGACCTCCTTTCGATGGCACGGGGTATCTGAATCAGCTCTGAGCTGTCTCGCATGCTTCGCTGAGCTGTTCGTGCGGAGGTGTCCGCTTTCGTCCCCTCAGCTTTCTTCCTACTTCTCCACATCAAAACTTCCAGAACCGCCAGATCTCAGAGATTCTCAATTGATCTTTGCCCGATTGTATCCTCGTCCTGGCCTCGGCTTAGGTTATGGATGGAGCTTCCCGCCTCGCAGCTGTGTCGTCTCGCGGGGTGGGGGGTGGGGGGGGGCACTTCAGGAGGCGGGGCGCGCCCCAGAGCAGACGCACCCGCTGAGAGGCGGGCTCGGGGCGCGCCCTGGGCGGGCGGGCAGGCCTCTCCCGGCGGGGTGTGTAGATGGGGGGGGGGTGTGCGCGAGTTCACGGGGGGGCGATACATCGGGGGGGGAGAAACGTGCCCCTCTCGGGCCCTAGAGGCCCCCTCTGGGCCTCCCCTTCTGGGGCCCGACAGGGCCCCTTCAGGCGCCCTGAAGGGCTCATTTTCTGTTACTGCGGGCGGGGCGGGCGGAGCGGAGGGGGTCCTCCTAGGTCCTAGCACTCCTCCTTTTTGACGTTCGGCGAACTTGCCAACGCGGATCGCAGCGTCTGGCGCTCGTCCTCCTGTCGCTGTCGCTGTTGCTGATGGCAGTCGGGTCGATGGTCGGTGCTGCCTCCCCTCCCCCCCAGCGGGCGTTGCCGTTGGGGGGGGGGGGTTGACCAACTCCCCAGCGGCACTCGGTCACCAGGGAGGACGGACAAAAATGGATCCTCTTCCTCCTCCTCCTCCTCCTCCTCCTCCTCCTCCTCCTCCTCCTCCTCCTCCTCCACCCTCTCCTCCTCCTCCTCCTGCTCCTCCTCCTCCTCCTCCTCCTCCTCCTCCTCCTCCTCTTCCTCCTCTCAATCTCATCCACCCCGTCCCTCTCCTCCTCCTTTTCCTCCTGATCATCATCAACAGCTGCATCCTCCCCCCTCTTTCTTTCAAACTGTCTATCATCATGCTTTTCCTTCTCCTCCTGCTCGTCAAGTTCCTCCTCGTCATTCTGATCATCATGCGATTCTTCATAGTCCTCCCCTCCTCCTCACATCGCCTTCCTCCATTTCTTCTCTTTCTCCTCCCTCTTGGCCCTGCGGGACAAAGACCCATACGCCACCATTCTCTTCCTCCTCCTCCTCCTCCTCCTCCTCCTCCTCCTCCTCCAGCCTGTATCAGGGGTGGGCGATCGGCACCCTGGAGCCTCTGTCCTCGTCTGACTCGACCCAGCTGGCCCGCACCGTGCTGCATGGGGGGGTACCCTAGCGCCGCTGGCCGGCTCGTGCTGCCTGCCCGTGGCGTGGCAAGCAGATGCCCTTGGCCATGCCGTTGTTGTCCTCCTCCTCCTCGTCCTCCTCCTAGTTCTCCTCCTCCTCCTCCTCCTCCTCCTCCTCCTCCTCATCCTCCTCCCCAGACGCTCCAACCTCCTCCTCCTCCTCCTCCTCCTCCCCATTCGTGCCGACCCCGGCACGTTGTTGTCTCACGCCGTCGAGCCTGGCACAGTGGGCCGGGCCTCCAGGCCTGTGTTGGAAACGGAGGAGCTGGACCACCGGGCTCGAGCCCTCCGATTTCGTCCTCCGGGCCCGCCAGCAGTGGCGACGTGCCTGCACGGGGAGGAAGCGAAAGCGTCCCCCTCCTCCCCAGGCTTCCGCGCCGTGCTCTCTTCACAACGCGGCTCCTCCTCTCTCTCTCCCCTCCTCCTCGGGTTGGAGATGCACATGCTTCACCCCCCTGGCTGTCTCCACGTGGTGGAGCTTTCGCGGACTGCCGTTCCGATCCGATCCCATCCGATCCCCTCCTCCTCGCTCCCTTTCTCCCTTCTCTCTCCCCCCCTGCTCCTTCTCCACCTCCGAGCTTTTCGAGCTGCAGGCCTGGTCCTTCGGTGGAGCTGTAGGCCCTCGGCGGTCCTCCCCCGGCCTGCGCCAGGCGGAGGGGGGAGGCAAACCAAGAGGTCAAGGGAGCGGATGGGGCACGCTCGAACGTCGAGACGGATCGACCTCAGGCCAGATGAGGAGCTTACTCCGGTTTTATCCTACCTTCGGTGCCCCTTCCCTCCTGTCTCTTGCGTTTCGTGTCTGAAGCTTCTGATCGCGAACGTTTCCGAGCGTTTATCGTCCTCGTATTACTTTCCACTGCTTAGCCCGACAATTCGTGAAGGACGCCGGGTCTAACAGAGCCCTTGAGCGACGCAAAAAGCAGGGTCGGCTGCGCCGACACTGGCGCGTGAGCTGCCCGCGTAGGGTCGTTCGTGAGCGCCCTCGTCTCCTGTCTGCCGTGCTGCACGGGCGGCCCGCGTAGGCCGCGGCATGAGGGCGCTCTGCCATCTCGCGCAAGACCCGTCTCTGATCGTCGTTCCGATGAGCCGCTTCCGCCTCCCTGGCCTTCTGGCGTCGCGTTTTTTGTTGCAGCGTGGCTTCCCACCGGGGGCGTGTTTTTTTCCTCCGTTCCGGGTGGTTTCTTGACGATGCCGCGGGGCCCTGTGAAGGCACCCAGCAGCAGAGCAGGGCCCCAGACCATCGGAGGCCTGGAAATTGGCACCAACACCAAGACAGAGGGTTGCCTCCACAGGGGGAAGATGGTCCTAGATTTTCGGTGTTGGTGGCAATAGTTCGGCCACCTTGGAAGCCAGAATATTACCACCATCACCGAGATCGGGATCTTCTTCCCCTGGTGGAGGCACACCGCCGAAATTGGTGTTGGTGTCAATCTCTAGGCCTGCGAGACCATGTGTTCATGTTTTCCCCCCACCCGACAGGCCGAGCTTGTCGGATTCAGATACGGCGCGCCTCGCACACCCTGCATGCCGCGGCCGCCAGGCCCAAAGCGTGCCGGTGCCCCCTGGGTATCCCGCCTCGCGCCTTTTCGACGAACGGCGACCGCACGCCGCGGCCAGCCAGGCCAAAAACGTGTCGGTGCTCCCTGGGTATCCAGCCTTAAAACGACGCGAAGATCGGGACAAAATCGGATCGGGATAACTCGAAATCTCTGAGAATCGGCGGGTTTGGAGGATGTATTGGGCGCCGCGGCCGCTCCAGAGCGTTCCGGAACGCTCTGAGAGCGCTCCGGAACGCTCTGGAGCGACTTATCCCGATCCTAGCCCTGTTTTATATCCAGCCTCGCGTTCTCGCACGGGTACCACTCGAAGCAAAACAGTCGATGTTCTGATTCTTCGTACAGCGCGAGGAGTTCAGGGCCCTCCTTATCCTCGTTCACCCCCGGCGGAGGTCGCCTGCAAGGGTCGGCGGCCCGCCAAGCTTCGCCGCTCAGAGTGCACGCACGGCGCAGTTTCAAGGCCTCGCGATGGCTCAGAGCAGACGCCCGATCTCCACAACTGTCTTTAGAGTGCATTTGCGTGCGCTCGCGTTTGGTTTCAAAGAGACAACTCGCCGATTCAGCGTCGATTAGCGCCGATTGGTGTCGATGGGCGTCGATGCGCGTCGATTAGCGTCGGTCAGCGTCGATTCGCTGGAGCCTCCGAAGTCGCCCGATCTCTACGAGCCCGATCCCGACCCTTCGCTGACTCTGAAGCCCATTCGCATGCACATGAATCCCGATTTCAATCAGTGTTTTAATCTGGAGAGAACGAGCTTCCATCTGACCTCAAACGAGGCCGCATTTGGATGGTTCGCGTGCATGGGAATTCAGTGTCCTACGCCCCCCTGGGTGTATGACTTCTTCTTCTTTGTTGTTGATGATGATGTTGTTGTTGTGGTTGTGGTTGTGATTGTGGTTGTGATGGTTGTTGTTGTTGTTGTTGTTGTTGTTGTTGTTGTTGTTGTTGTTGTTGTTGTTGTTGTTGTTGTCGATGTTGTTGTTGTTGTTGTTGTTGTTGTTGTTGTTGTTGTTGTTGTTGTTGTTGTTATTGTTGTTGGTGTTGTTGTTGTTGTTGTTGTTGTTGTTGTTGTTGTTGTTGTTGTTGTTGTTGTTGTTGTTGTTTCTTGTTGTTTCTTGTGATTGTTGTTGTTGTTGTTGTTGTTGTTGTTGTTGTTGTTGTGATTGTTGTTGTTGTTGCTGCTGTTGTTATTTTTTTTTGTTGTTGTGGTTGTTGTTGTTGTCGATGTTGTTGTTGTCGTTGTTGTTGTTGTTGTGGTTGTTGTTGTTGTTGTTGTTGCTGCTGGATCCTACTTCCGACCCTCCCCCCCGCGGCGCCCAGACCGTGCAGAGCTTCTGTGACCGCACCCCCGCGGACGTCGGGGGCCCGCCCCGCCAGTCAGAGCGGCTGTGTCCTCGCCGCCGCCGCCGCCGCCGCCGCCGACGACGTCGTCGTCGTCGTCGTCGTCGTCGTCGTAGGCGTCGTCGTCGTCTTCGTCGTCGTGGTCGGCTTCGTCGTGGCGCGTTCGTCGTCGTCGTCGTCGTCGTCGTCGTCGTCGTCGTCGTTGTCGTCGTCTTCGTCGTGGTCGTGGTCGTCGTCGTCGTCGTCGTCGTCGTCGTCGTCGTGGTCGTCGTCGTCGTCGTGGTCGTCGTCGGCTTCGTCGTGGCGCGTTTCGGTAAGCACGCACAAGGCAGGATCGTCTGGCAGGTTGTGCGATTCCAGGGCATTGCATATTCACGACAGCCGGAAAAGTCGTTCTGCCAACAGTGTCATGGGAAGTATTCTCATATTTTACGATACGAGCACGCATTTGTTAAGATGTTTGGCGACGACTGGCAGAGTTTGGCCATGGACCAGAACAAGTGGGCTGATCTCAGAGATTGTTGGCCGAATCGACGGCTTCAACTTCTGACTTCAGATTTTTGCCAGCACGCCTTGCTTGCATTCGGCTTTACGCAAACCTCAGGGTAGACAGAGTCACGAACGAATGAACGGCTTCGTCATCATCGTCGTCGTCGTCGTCGTCGTCATCGTCGTCGTCATCGTCTTCGTCATCGTCGTCGTCGTCATCAACGTGGGCGTCGTAGGCGTCGTCGTCGTCGTGGTCGTCATCGGCGTCGTCGTCGTCGTCGTCGTCGTCGTCGTCGTCGTCGTCGTCATCGTCGTCGGCTTCGTCGTGGCGCGTTCGTCGTCGTCGTCGTCGTCGTCGTCGTCGTCGTCGTCGTCGTGGTGGTCGTGGTCGTCGTGGTCGTGGTCGTCGTGGTCGTCGTCGTCGTCGTCGTCGTCGTCGTCGTCGTCGTCGTCGTCGTCGTCGTCGACGATCGACGGCCGAGGGCCGAAGATCGACGGCTCTGCCGACCGCTTCTGGGGCTGGGGCCGGGCGGTCTCCGGGGGCCTCCACGGGGCGCCCGAGCGGGGCTGGAGCGGTCCCTTTCGGCCTCCGCCTCCGCGCTCTCCGCTCTTGGCAGGTGTCGCGCGTGCCGCGCCCTTCCGCCGCTGCGGCCGTCGAGGCGGCTGCCGCTGCGGCCGCGGCGGGGGGGGCCGCGCCGCGGCGCGTGCCGCGTGGAGGGCGCGGCAGGCAGTGGATGATGGGCCTGTTTTCCACCACCACAACCATACGTTGGAGGGGGCAGGGGTTCCTCCTCCCGCTCTTCTTCCTCCTCCTCCTCCTCCTCCTCATTCTCCACCTCCTTCCCCCCCTCCAACTTATGGTGGTGGTGGTGGGAAACAGGCCTATCGGTGGAGGGCTGGAGCTGGCTGGGGGTCAGGCGGCGCAGCACTGGTCGCTGCGGGAGGGCTTCTGCCTCCGTCGGCCTCTGTGGGGGCCGTCTCCGGGCCCCTGGGCCGTCCAGAGCGGATCTGGGGAGAAGAGCTGCACCAGGTGGGCCCCGGACGGGTCCAGGGACCGATTGGCTTCGTTTCGCCTCCTTGATCGATCTTCCGCTCCATCCAGTTCAGACCCTCCAGCCGCCTCCACGTGGGTAGCAGCTCACCGCCGACGCATCGGCAGTGCGGCGCGATCCAGCGCTGGCCTTCTTCGTCCCAGTGTTGGCCGATGTATCGGCGATGCAGTGCGGCTGTTTGACCATAAAGTCCTCCAGCCCCAGGTTGACTGGCCCCCAGTCGTAGTTGTCGTCGTCGTCACCGTGGTCGTCATTATTTCGAAGATTCATCGGGAATCTTCGTCGTCGCGGCCAGATGCGGCTCGGAGAACGCGCCCAAGGTGGAGTCGATGGGCAGGGCTGCTGGAGTTCAGGAGTACGAGCGCAAGCATAGAAACTATAACGAAGACCTGTGCAAGCAGGTAGCCACGCGTCCACACTTTGCCCTATCTGATTCTTGAGACAGCAGCGTGGGCAGACAATACCACGAGGGAAACTGGGTTGCATCAGAAGAGCCCATGCCATTGTGCAATCGTAGTCGTGATGGTCGAGCGGTTCTCGTGCGAAGAAGCTGTCTCTTGTGTTTCCACAGGTCTCCAGAGGCCTCCGTGGAATTCGGCAGGTCCCCGGATGCCCTCAGAGGTTCTCAGAGGCCTCCAGAGGTCCACAAAATGCAACATCATAATGTCATATCAGTCCTCCCTCGTCATCGTAAGGTCCTGCATGAGATCATCGTCGTCGACGACGGCTCCAGCCCCCCCCTGGAGATCATTCTCAGGCAGCAGATCCCAGAGCGCTGCAAGCTGAAGGCTTCCTCCTGCCCCCCTCCTCCTCCTCCTCCTCCTCGACCTCCTCCATCTCCTTCTCCTTCTCTTGTTCCTCCGTCTTTCCTCCTCCCTGATGCTCCCTCCCCTCTTCCTCCCCTCCTCCTCCGTCCCTTTTCCTGATGAATGACTCCGCCCTGTCGCGCCCCGAGGCCAGTTGGAAGGGCGGGCCAGGCGTTTCGCTTGAGACTCCCTTACCATTTATGAGCCTGGAGCTTAAACATTGACAACAGTTTCACAGATGGTTGGCGGGTCGCTTCCGAAATGTGGCTCTGGCCTTGGCCCCGCGCGCATTTGTTTTAAACATTCGCAGATGTTTTACATGGATGGCGGGTCGTTCTCAAAATGTGGCTCTTGATTAGCGCCGCGCAGATTCGTTCCTAAGATTTGAAGAGTTTCGCGGATTGAGGGGTGTCGTTTTCAATATGTGGTTCTCGTTTTAGCGCCGCGCACATCCTGTCTAAACATTGGCAAGAGTTTGGCGGATTGAGGGCGGGTCGTTTTAATGTGGCTCTCGCCTTATCGCCGGGCATACCCGTTTTAAACATGTGCAAGAGTTTCACGGATTGCGGGCGGTACCGTTTCAAATTGTGGCTCTCGCTTTAGCGACGCACGCATTTGTATTAAACAGTTGCAAGAGTTTCATCAGTTTGCCTGGTTCACGTCCCAGAAATTGTGTTTTGGAATGGTTCAGGACTCAGGGTGCAGCAATTACTTTGAGTCGCGGTGTTGAACTCCCAGGAATTGTGTCCTGGAGCGATTCAGGATCGTCAAGACGCAACAGTCAGGTTGACTCGTGGCGTTGAAGTCCTGGGAACGGTGTTTTGGCACGCTTCAGGATTAAATGAGCCCTTGTATGGGGCCTATGAAGAGGGAGCTTGGAGAGAGGGTGCATTCCAACACCGTTGATGAGCCTTGGGTTTTCACTGGTCCTCCCTCTTCCTCCTCCTTCTCTTCCAGCCTCTCTCCTCCTCCAGCACCGCTCCTGCTGCTGCTGCGGCCGCTGCCGCTTCTCCTGGAGACCGAGACGGGGGGAGACAAGGAGGGACAGGAGGAGAATGAGGAGGATGAGGAAGATAATGAGGAGGATGAGGAGGAGGAGGAGGAGGATGAGGACGACGAGGAGAAGGAGGAGGAGGAGGAGGAGCTGTAGCTGGAGGAGTGGGGGAATCAGGATGGATTGATGATGCGTCAGGAGCTGGAGGAGCAGCATCAGCCCTTCCGCCTTCCTCACGTTTCTCCGCGTGTGCGCCTTGCCTCTTCGCTGTGCTTGGCTGATATTTTTGCATTTCGTCGAACGGGTTTTGCCTTCTGAGTGTCTACTTTCGGAGGAGGAGGAGAAGAGGACCATTCCGCCACCCGAGGTGCTCCGACACACCAAACCGTACGGCCTAATGATAGCGAAGCAGACCGGCGGTGACGCGGCGGTCGGGCGGTTCATCGGCTTCTACGACTGCCACGTCGCGCCCTCCAAGACTTGGTCTGGCGGGCAAGATAACCGAAGGAAGAAACACGATTACTATGACGAAGATGTCGCGGGATCCTGCCGAAGCCGATCTGCCGTTGCAGATTCGCGAGGATGATCCACGAATTGACGATGACCGAATGGAAGATTCTGGAGGTAGGAGAGGGGTGTGGCATAAAGGGGTGTGGTGCCAGTGGTGGAAGTCGAGATGCTATCTACGACAGATGGCATCGCCAGGCTCAGCATTGGCACCGCACCCCTTTATGCCACACCCCTCTCCGACCTCCAGAAAGAGCACCCAGATCGACGCTGCCGTTTCCGCCGTTCAGTCTTGGTCATGGTCGTCCTTGTCAGTTCTGGCCCAGCCGAGCAGCAGCAAGCGGTCGTGGGCCCCTGCCTCCCCTACGTGGGTGTAGCCTGCGCGCTCCGCGCAGCTGGGAGGGCTCCCCGCTCCTTCGGTGGGCAGGATCCGGGGCGGTATCGGTTGGCCGTCCTGCCGCTGAGGTGCCTGGTCTTGGGTCACGACCCCTGCGTTTCTGCGTTTCTCGCTCCGAGCAGCGTCTCCACGAGCGCCCGGAGCGCGGAGCGCGCCGCAGCAGCCCACGAGGGCCGTCCGGGCACTCAGACGACGGCCCCGGGAACCCGACCCCGAGGAAGAGAAAGAGGACCAGGGACCAGCCGTTTCTGCTCGTAACAGAGGGGAGAAGACGAGTCACGACCCCTCGTCGTCGTCCTCTCCTCCTCGCCCTGTTGGTATATGGGGGATGCGTGGCGGCCTGTCGGACCGTCGAGTGCTGGCCGGGCGTTCTCTGTAGCCCTGCCGTGGCGGCCGGGCGACCAGGCGCAGTCGAGAGCAGTCTCGGTCAAGTCGAGAAGAGCACACTGGTGTCAGAAGTAGTACGCTTGGGGCAGGACTTCTCTGCACGCCCGAAATGGGTACTGAAAGAATGGGTACTATGCCCAACAGCGGATCTTGTTCATTTTGAACAGGGCTCGCTGTCCGCGCCGCCGCTGCCTGTGTCCATTCGAGACAGGAGGCCGCCCGCCCAACAGCGGCCGCTGTCGGTTTGGGACAACATTTGCTGTTGGGCATAGTACCCATTTTTTCGGTACCCATTTCGGGCGTCCAAAACTTCGCAAAGCGCTTTGTGCTCAGTCGCAGATTCCGGATGAAACCGAGAGGGCAGCGCGCCAAGTCAGTCATCATCAGTCATGCGTCGATGCCTACATGCGGGCAACCAGTAGCTGTCAGAGGGGGAAGGGCAACGTTTGCTGTTCGGAGGAATACATGGAGACGGGGGGATTATGGGAATGTGCGTGGCAGGCAATGGAAAGGGTCACACTGCGGAGCCCAGCGTCGTTTGAGGTACATAGAGACCATCAAGCTCTTGGAGAAGAGCGATAAGCGGATGGTGGTCCCGATGATAGGCGACTTGAACATATCTAGCTGGGACGAGAAAGTTAATGGAGGGCTTTGGGGAAGTGCATTCGGGAGATGGGTGGGAGTGAGAGAGAGAGAGAGACAAAACATATGAAGGAGCGGAGACAGGGCCTGCATGGGGTGGGCTGCGTATTATTACTGTTATCATCACGGTCATCATTCGTGTCGGGGTTAGTGATGGTAGTAGAACCGTGGTAGTACATTTTCGAAGGGCGGAACTGCGACCAGGCTCCGCTGCTGGAAGCGATGGCGTCACACCAGGTGTCTTCAGAGGGCTCCCGTTGACGGCGCGTGAAGACGTTGGGCTCGGTACCAGAGTCGATTCATTGGAAGATCTTCCTTTTTGTCGGGATTCCGAAGGCCGAGTTGGATGGAGAATTTGATCACTTGCGCTGGATTTGCAAGTCCCCTGTACTTCGGAAGTGGTACTTGCATACTTTGGGACTTCGACTGCGAGTGAGTGTTTCTCCGTCGTTGGTTCAGTCGTATGGCTTCCAGGTAGGGCTTCTACGCTTCACCTTACTTGTATGGTCCAGGAGCTTTTATATTTATCGTCCGAGTGGAAGTTCGATTTGGTGGTGGGCGTGCAAGATGTCGAAATTGCATTTGTTTCGATGCTTCGTTGCTGTATCGTTGAATATTTAACGTCCCAGGGTGCGTTTGCGCAAGACGTCGCACTACACATGAGCTGGCGTCCATTCGACCTTCTATCCATGTGTCACTGGTGGGTCGCACGCTGCCCTTTCCATTCGGAAGAGGGGGGAAGCAATGAGGCGTGGAGACGTCCGACGAACGGCGAGCCATGGGGGACCATATCATGGAGCTAGTGGTGAAACCATGGATCACCTTGGATTGGGATTTCGTTTGCTGGCAGAGGGGTTGCGCGAAGAACGCTTGTGTACACATGCTGTCTGGGCCGGCAAGTGTTGTGTTCGCGACGATCACCAGCTTTATGCAGCGCGAGATCGATAATATCGACGCGGCGTTCGGCCGCTGGCGCTTGCAAATGGAGGGAGGTATTTTGCGTGAAAGCCACCCTTTAGAAAACATGATATCTTTGCGACGGCCGTCGACGGACCTGGTCATTTGAACGTGGGGTTTGGCAGTGGTACGATGGAATACCAGGTCAATCTGCGTATCGTTCTCCAGGGTGATTTTTTGGACCAGACCAGCTCCACATCTGGAAATAGGCATTACCATTTGGCCAAGGCGGAAGGACATTACCCTGCGAGCCAAGCTGTATTTCGGAATGGATCTCTGCCACTTCGCAGAAGGTTTCGCGCATGGAAAACAAACAGGAGGAGGAAGAGGAGGGAGGAGGGAGGAGGGAGGAGGGAGGAGGGAGGAGGGAGGAGGGAGGAGGAGGAGGGAGGAGGGAGGAGGGGGAGGGAGGAGGGAGGAGGAGGGAGGAGGGAGGGAGGAGGGAGGAGGGGGAGGGAGGAGGAGGGAGGAAGGAGGAGGGAGGAGGGAGGAGAGGAGGGAGGAGGAGGAGGGAGGGAGGAGGGAGGAGGAGGAGGGAGGAGGAGGGAGGGAGGAGGAGGGAGGGAGGAGGGAGGAGGAGAAGGAGGAAGGAGGAGGGAGGAGGGAGGAGGGGAGGAGGGAGAGGGAGGAGGGAGGAGGAGGAGGGAGGGAGGAGGGAGGAGGGAGGAGAGGAGGGAGGGAGGAGGGAGGAGGGAGGAGGGAGGGAGGAGGGAGGAGGGAGGAGGGAGACTGAGGGAGGAGGGAGGAGGAGGAGGAGGAGGGAGGAGGGAGGAGGAGGAGGGAGGAGGGAGGAGGGAGGAGGGAGGAGGGAGGAGGGAGGAGGGAGGAGGAGGAGGGAGGAGGGAGGAGGAGGAGGGAGGAGGGAGGAGGGAGGAGGGAGGGGAGCAGGGAGCAAGGAGCAGGGAGCAGGGAGCAGGGAGCAGGGAGCAGGGAGCAGGGAGCAGGGAGGGAGGTAGGGAGGAGGGAGGAGGGAGGGGAGGAGGGGGGAGGGAGGAGGGAGGAGGAGGAGGGAGGGAGGGAGGGAGGGGGGGAGGGAGGAGGGAGGGAGGAGGAGGAGGTGGAGGAGGAGGAGGGAGGAGGAGGAGGTGGAGGAGGGGAGGAGAGGAGGAGGAGGAGGAGGAGGAGGAGGAGGAGGAGGAGGAGGAGGAGGAGGAGGAGGAGGAGGAGTTGGAGTTGGAGTTGGAGGAGGAGGAGGAGGAGGAAGAGGAGGAAGAGGAGGAGGAGGGGCGAGGAAAGGGGCACGGGGAGGAGGGGAGGCGCCTTGACAGCCAAGTGCTACATCAACCTGGGAACTGCTGACTTCTGGTGGTACGACGACGACTCGGACTGGCGGCCGCCGTAGCTGGCCTTGATCGTCTCGAATTTTTCCATGGCGAAGGATATCTTGGCTCCTCTTTGCCCTCCCCATGCTCCTTGAATCGCCCGCCGCCGCCCCTTCGTCCTTGCCTCCTCCTGCGGTGCGCCAGGGAACGGCACCGGTGGCCCCGTGCCCGCCCGGCCGATCTTGCGCGAGCGCCGGGCCCGCGGCCCCCCCCCAGGATGCAGGAGCAGGCCGCCCAGATGCAGCACGACACGGGGGAGGCCCGTGCCAAGAGACGCCCCGCTTGCCTCCAGGGTGCCTCCAGGGTGCCCGGGGTTTCGACGGTTTTTCGATGGACAGCGTGGCGTTCCCGTGCCAACAGCCAGTGGACGTCCTGGGGTCTCAGGGTTAGGCTTCTCGCGGAAGGCTTCCCCTGGACTGGCGTTTCCTGGGTTTCGATGGTTTTTCGATGGACAGCGTGGCGTTCCCATGCCAACAGCGAGTGGACGTCCTGGGGTCTCAGGGTTGGGCTTCTCGCGGACGGCTTCTCTGTGGACTGGCCTCCGCCGTAGGTGCAGCTGGGGCAGGGGTGGGCGCACGGCCCCCGTGCGCCGTGGCGTGTAATGTTTTTGTTGCAAGGGATCGCCCCTCCTCCCTCCTCCCTCCTCCCTCCTCCCTCCCTCCTCCCCGTCCGAGCCAGACACATGTAGCCGGCGTGGAGGCGAGGGTCCAATCCAGGGGAAGCGGGCGCCGGACCAGGCAGTCCATCCGTCACCCTTGTGGTACTCCTAGTGTTTTGTCTCTGGTCTTCAGAAGAGTAATCCTGGCGAAGGGCCCAACCGCATGCAGCTGCGAGTATCGCGGGGCATAGAGAAGGATGGGTGCGCCGAAACGCGCGGGGAACCGCATGTGGACGCACCCACTGGCGCCTTCGGTGGAGCTCCCTATGGGGTCGCGAAACTTGTGAGGGGTGCGCCGAAATTCCTGGGGAGCTGCATATGGACGACACTCCCTGGGGCCTTATACGGAGCTCCCTATGGGACCACGAAACGTGTGAGGGGGGTATCGTATGTGGACGCCACCCCCTGGGGCCTTAGATTAAGCTCCCTATGGAGCCACGAAGCGTGTGAGGGGTGCGCAGAAATAGATGGGGAACCGCATGTGGGCGACACCCCCTGGGGCCTTCGGTGGACCCCCTTAGGGGGTCATGAAACGTGTGCGGGGTGCGCCGTAATGGGTGGGGAAGCGCAGGTGGGCTCCCTACGGGGCCACGACACGTGTGAGGGGTGCGCCGAAACGCGCGGGGAACCGCATGTGGACGCGCCCACTGGGGTCTCGGTGGGCTTCGTTATGGGACCACGAAACGTGTGAGGGGTGGGCCCAAATGGTTGAAAACCGCATGCGGACGACACTCTCTGAGGCCTTCAACATGTGTGAGGGTTGCGCCGAACTGGGCTGGGGGACAGCATGGAATATCCCTTCCCCCTGGAGGCCTGATTTGGAGCTCCTATGGGGCCACGAAGCGTGTGAGGGGTGTGCCGACATGATGGGGTTGGGGAACCGCATGTAGTGCCCCTCCCCTGGGGCCTTAGTTGGAGCTCTATATGGGTCCACGTACAGTGTGAGGAGTGTGTTGACATTGGCTGCGGGACCTCATGTGGTACCGCCCCCCTGGGGCCTTAAATGGAGTACCTCATGGGGCCACGAAACGGGTGAGGGGTGCGCCGCAATGGGTGGTGAATCGCATGTGAACGGCACTCCTTGGGGCCTCAGATGGAGTTCCTTATGGAGCCACGAAGCGGGTGAGGGGTGCGCCGAAATGGGTGGGCAATTGCATGTGGACGACACCCCCCTTGGGCCTTAGGTGGAGCTCCCAATGGGGCCACGAAACGAGTGCTGGGTGCGCTGGAATGGGTGGGGACGCGCATGTGGGCTCCCTGCGGGGCCACAAGCAACACGCGCGAGGGGTGCGTCGAAATGCGCGGGGAACCGCATGTGGGCGCGCCTACAGGGGTCTCGGTGGAATTCGTTACGGGGCCACGAAACGTGTGAGGGGTGGGCCAAAATGGTTGGAGAACCGCATGTGGACGACACCCTCTGAGGCCTTCGACACGTGTGACGGGTGCTCGGAGCTGGGCTGGGGGGCCGCATGGGGTACCCCTTCTTCCTGGAGCCTTAGTTGGAGTTCCCATGGGGCCACGAAGCGCGTGAGGGGTGTGTGTGTGTGTGTGTGTGTGTGTGTGTGTGTGTGTGCGTGGGTGCTGAAATCGGGTGGGGGGCCGCATGTAGTATCCTTCTCCCTGGGCCCTCGGTCGGATTCCGCATGGGGCCACGAAGCGCCGCGGGTGAGGGGTGTGCCACCGTGGGGTGCGGGTCCGCATGTGGTCCCCCTCCCTGGGGCCTTAGATGGAGCTCCCTATGGGGGGCCACGAAACGTGTGACGGGTTTGCCACCATGGGGTGCGGGACCGCACGTGGTCCCCCTCCCTGGGGCCTTAGATGGAGCTCCCTCGGGGGCCACGAGACGTGTGACGGGTTTTGCCACCATGGGGTGCGGGACCGCATGTGGTCCTCCTCCCTGGGGCCTTAGATGGAGCTCCCTAGGGGGCCACGAAACGTGTGACGGGTGTCGGGTGTGCCGAAGCGACATGCGGACGGCAGAGGCAGGGGTGAGAGGAGGGGAGGAGGAGAGGGGGGAGGAGGGGAAGAGGAGATGATGAGAGGAAGACGTGCGGCGCTGTCTATTCAAAACGAGGACCCGACACCACAGGATGGTGGGACAAAAACGCCAGGAGAACCTTTTACAGCGAAACGCTATTGGGAAAGGCTCGCGGGCCCCCCCGAGGCCCACAACGGGCCCCTGGATGCCAAAATCGTGGGACAGCACGCGTCTTTCGCGACGGGAGCTCGACTTCCTCCGTCCCGACGGCACCGATGCATCGCCGACGCATCGGCACCGCATCGGCGGTGCGGTCCTCTGCTCTGGCCCCGCTTCGGGCAGCCTGCGCTGAAGGTGCCCGGAGGTCTCCGTTCTCCGGGGGTCTCCAGAGAGACTTCCGGCGGCCTCCAGAGGCCCCCAGAGGCTCCAAGAGGGCCCCAAGAGCCGAAAAGTGTTCATCCGTTCTTAAGCCGACACGAGGCTCCCGGAGGGTCCCAGGAGGCCCCGAGAGGCTCCCAGGAGCCGAAGAGTCTGAACCTCGATCCTCTCAAACCTCGATCCTCTCAGACCTCGATCCTGGCTCGATCGCCGACCGCGGTGGTGGCTGCGGCCGACACGCAGGCCCGGGGAGGGCCCGCCACGGGGCGCCCGCTCCCTTGGCGTTGCCCCGCTCTTTGGGAGGAAGACGAGGAGGAGGAGGAGGAGGAGGAGGAGGAGGAGGAGGAGGAGGAGGAGGAGGAGGAGGAGGAGGAGGAGGAGGAGGAGGAGGAGGAGGAGGAGGAGGAGGTTGAGGAGGAAGGGGAGGAGGAGGGGAAGGAGGAGAGGGGGGAGGAGGAGGAGGAGGAGGATCGCCCCCCCCCCCCGGGGGCGCGCCGAGGATACCGATCATCAGCGGCGGCCTGGTGGCCACGACGCGCAAGTGGTGGCAGTTCTCCGGCGGGTTCGACGGGGACCCTCCGCGGGGTCCGCGGGGTCCGGGGACCCGCCGCGGGGTCCGCGGGGTCCGAGGGAAAAAAACACACACACAGACACAATTAATCGTCGATCCCCAAGAAAATATGGGAAAATATGGGAGTTGGGCGGGAAGGCAAAAACCCAGAAAGTACGGGAGAGTATGGGGAGCCTTTTTATTTGTGTGTATTTCTTTGTGTGTCCCAGGGCCCCTTCACTCCAGAGTTCTCCATGGGCTGCCCGGAGAAGGGCCGGGGCAGCTGGGGTCGGAGCATCGCGCCGCATCGCCGAGGCATCGGCGATGCATCGGCTCGATGTGGAGCCTGAGTTTCCTCACGTCGACGTCGCCGATGCATCGCCGAGGTCGCAGATGCATCGCCGATGCATCGGTGGTGCAGCCACGATACGGCGCGATCCCCCGACCCCATGAACTCCGATCCCGTTTGGGAGGCCTCCAGTTCTGGCTGCTCGAGAGGAATCGATCTGGAGGGTTTTGGGCGTCCTGAATGCTTGAAGGCCGTTTTCCAGCTCCGTGAGTCAAAGACCAATTTATGATGAAGGGGGAGTCCTGGGAAAGGGATCAAGAGATTCTGGGGCCAGCGACTCAAAAATAGCGACTCGGTGCTTCTCGAAAATCCTGGTGGGTTCGGGCCCAGGCGGTCCTCGACCTGCTGCGACTCGTCTAGAGCCCCGAGGCATGGCCCGAAGGCTTGACGGAGGGAAGAGGAAACTCCGCAGGCTTCCGATCCGACGTCGTGTTTTTTTCTCGCAGCTTCGGCCCCAAGAGGGCTCAACCCTTTCCCCAGGACCGGCTTTTCACGCCCAGCTGTCTCTTTCGACTGCCCATGGGGCCCGACGAGGGCCACGGCCAACAGAACCAGCCGCTTGGTTTATTAATCGCTTCGCTCATTCCGCCGGCCCTGGAGTGCTATTTGGGGCCTCTTGGGGCAGTCTGAGGGGCTTCTTGGGGGCTTCTTGGGGGCGTCTTGGGGCTCCCTGGCGGCGTATTGGGCTCCCCCGGGGCCTCTTGGGGGGCTCTTGGAGGCCCCTTGGGGCGGGAGGGGGGTAGTCGATTGCAGCCCCCCCCTCGGAGGCCACGATCCTCGTGAGTGGTGGCGAAAAATAGCCTCCCCCCTGGGGATCGCCTGGGACCCAGCCGGGGATCGGCCGGGGTACTTTTCGCCCAGGCCCCCCCAGGGGCCGCCCCGCGCGCGCGAACTAGAAATATTGTTAAGTAGTTACCGGAGATCTTAGCACGCCGTTGGCCCGTTGGGCCGGCGAATTTCCTGCGTCAGCCAGGCAACAAGTCGGTCAGCTTGGATCAAGGCTTCATGAGCAGGGCTGTCCGACACTTTTTTGCTTTTCTGAGGCCATGAGGCTTACTAATGGCGCGCAGTTGGCGCACCGATTTCACGTTGGACCGTGCTCGGCGGTTTGCCGTCCCCATTCTGCCTATGTTCGGCTGCCAACGCGTTTGGCGCCTCGGCGGGTGCTGAACGCTTCGCGGCTCGGAGCTTACTTGCCCTTGCGGGCGCCGTGAAGAGCCCTCGAGGGGCCCCTTCGGCCCCGCTCCGGGCCCGCGGCTGGGGCGGCGGGCGGGCGCGGTGGCCTCCTGGGCGGCCGCGAGCAGCCTCCGCCGCCCCGGGTCGAGCCCGCCTCCCCCGGGGGGGGGCCGTGGGCCCCCGAAGCACATGCGGCCGGAACTCTGGCTCCGTATACCGCGCCGCCGCCTCCGATCCACCACGCCTCGGCGCGACAGGCCATCCGTTTCGCGGCTCCCAGGCATTCACGGCTCGACCTTTCCTTCTCAGAGCCTCCCGCCCCGCGGAGTGGAGCGGCACGCTGCCCGCCTGCCGGGCACAGCGTGTCGCCGGGGCCGCCGCGGCGATGCGCTCAGCAAGAGCTCCCGAAGGCAGCCGCGTCCGCGGCCCCGCGGGCCGCGCCCCTGGGCCGCGACCCCGCGGAAAGCGGGGCGCGTCTCCGCGGGTGCGGAAAACGGGGCGCGTCTCCGCAGGTGTCCCCCGCGCGGAGCGCATCCCATGCGACCCCGTGGCCTCGGGATCGCGCCCCGGAATCCGGAGCGCGAGGGCGTGGATGTGGAGAACTAAACGTTCGCCGCTCGTGGGAGGAGGAGGAGGAGGAGGAGGAGGAGGAGGAGGAGGAGGAGGAGGAGGAGGAGGAGGAGGAGGAGGAGGAGGAGGAGGAGGAGGCCCACCGCCCCCCTTCCTCCTCCTCGAGGGGCCGCCTCCGCCCCCCCCCCCTCGGGGTCCGCTTCGCTTCGATGCGACGCCGGTGCCGGCCGGCCCGCTCCGATTCGATCTCGATGCTCGGGCGAGCCGGCGCGGCCCGATGCCTGCAGGGCGCCGTCGTCGTGCACGCTGGCGCGGATCCGACCCGACTGGGTGCCGGCGCCGCGCCGGTGCTGCCCGATCCGACCCACGTTCCGCACGCCAGTCCGGTCCGATTTCTCGGTTCGATGCCGGAAGATCCTGCCGCCACGCATTTCGGGGCCTAACAGACGGGGGTCAACGAAAACGGGGGTGCGCCAGAGCGCCAGATCCTGCAGGATCCTGCGAAGGCCCCCTCTGGCTGACCCGGGTTAGCGAGCCGCTCGTGGCCGCGAGGCGTTTTTTTCCCTGCATTGCAGTTTTTGGTTTCCTGCTGACCCGGGTCTGGATTGACCCGGGTCAGAAGATCCCCGAGCATTCGGTAGCAGGTCATGGGAGCCCCGTTTGTCGTCGAAATTCCGTCTTCAGGGTGCGTTAGCGTGCACAATCGTTTGGTAATCGATGAGGAAGCGCCGACGCGGCGTCGATCCGCGCCGATGCAGCGTCGGCAAGTGCCGATGGGCGTCGTTCGGCGTCGTTGCCCGCAAGAGCCCGCAAGATGGCATGGGAGGCTCCCACGAGCTGCCACCGAGCACAGTCCAACCCGCAAATAGTGCGGAGGAACGGCTTTCCAAGCTTGCCCTTGTACAGTCGGGGCCCTGAAGAAGGAACCCTTTTCGTTGGGGAGGGGCTCCGCGTTCCTTGAGTGTTTCGCAGCTTGCCTCAGGCTTTCCTTATGTTTAGGTTTTCTTATGGAAAAAAGGGGCCTCGTTCCTTATTTATGGTTCCTTAGGTCAACGCCCTGACTGTACAGTCCAACCCGCAAATCGTGCGGATGAGCGGCTTTCCAAGCTTGCCCTTGTATCCTGCCCCTGCGGCCCATCTTTGGCCGCCTTCGCTGGCCGCGCCCCGCTCGCAAAGTGTCGACACGACCTTGCAAGGCCCTTCGCATCCTTACAGTGGACACCCATGCCAAGAGACACCCTGCTTGTTTCCAGGGTGCTTTTTTGGGCTTCGATAGTTTTGCTATGGAGAGCGTGACGTTACCACCCCAACGATCGATGGATGTCCTGGGGTCTCAGGGTTGGGCTTCTAGTCCGAGCTCCTAGTGTAGCGTGCGTCCTTCTTGTACGGGTTCACTGCACGGACCCACCCTCGGAGACAGGCCGAGGAGCACCCCTGACGATGCCCCGTCTCCTCCTGCGGTGCCCGAATCCGGCGCCTCCGCTTCGCTTCGCTTTCCGCTCGGGCCACCGCAGCAGCAGGTCCCTCCGTCCTCCCTGCGCCTTCTCCCCCGGGGTGGGGGCTTTGTCCATGGCCAGCGCCTGGGGGATTGATGCTCGCGGACCTCGGCAGGCGGTGGGCATGCAGATATTCGAGCCCCCGGGGGCCGAGGGGCATCCGTGTCCACCCCCTGCCGAGGTCCCCGAAGATCGATCCCCCAGGCGGTGGTTGTGGATAGGTCCCCGCCCTGCACTTCTGGTGCCCCGTGTGCGCCGCTGCGTGGGAGGGCTCCACGCGGGCCAGGAAGGGGGGCGGAGGCGAGCCCGCGAGGCGGGCAGGCTTCGGGCTGCGCACGGACGCTCCCCCTCCCACAGGCAGCCCCAGCTGGCCTCGAGAGGCCCGCCGAGTGGACCGGGGCGGTCTCAACACCCCAGCGCCGCCTCCCGCAGAGCCCCTGGGGCGCTCCAACGCCCCAGGGTTGGGGTGCCGAATTCACCTGTACACCACCACCGTGCCTGGGCAGGGTCATCCTGGGCCCCACTATGGTGTATACGCCCTCTTGGCATCGGCCAGGAGGGCGTATACACCATGCCAGGGCCCAGGCTGGCCCTGGACAGCCACGGTGGTGGTGTATAGATGCCTTCTGCGTACCGAAGCCTTACCAGTGTGAAGCGCGCGTGCGCGCCCAGCCGACGGTCCGCTCTCCTGGGCCGCAGGACATGCGCGGGTGGGGCGGTGAGAACTCCGACCAGTCGCTCACGGCCTGGCTGTGCGGCGGGGACATCGTCAGGCTGGCCGCGCCACCCCAGGGTGGGATGCCACATCTGTCCAGAGCTGGCCTGCCCCGATCGGCTCGATGATGCCTGACGATCTCCAGGCGTGGCATCGATCGACTGGATCTGCGAACGCTCGCAAACCCCAATTCCCCCCACGGGTCCACTCGCTGCTGAGGTATTTGACACCCCCGCTGGGGTTCCCTTGGCTGCGACGTCGGGCGACGGCAGCAGCCGACGTGCAGCACGAGAGCAGCGAGGCCGTGGTGACCGCAGGCTGGCCTGGGCGGCGTAAGGAAGACGCGGTCGATTGAGTACGCCAGCGTAGGTTCGTGTGGTGCCGACGCGGCAGCGACCCCGCCGTGGGCGTTCGGGGTTGAACGCCGCGAGTGTCCCAGAATCGTCCACTGTGGAACGATCTGGCGACCGAAGGGCCGCCGGTCGTTGCAGGCGGAACGACCCACGCGATGTCAGGAAGCAGCGCCAGGGTCGTCAGGGCACGGGCCCGCCGGAAGCTGCCCGCGTGAGGCCGCGCGCACCGGCGCCCTCCTCTCTTGAGTCGGGCATGCTCCTCTAGAGGAGGAACAGCCAAGAATAGTCGAAGAATAGTCAATGGACGATCTTTCGTGCTCTTGGGACCACTCCTGCACATTTTTTGACGACTTTTTGTGTTTCTTCCAGAGCCCGCCTGCAGGAGGACAGGCCCGACCTGACTCTCCTCTCCACGCTGCGCCCGTCCCTCGCAGGGGACCGGCGCCCCCCCCATCGCCCGGGGTAAATCACTCCTGTGTCGATCCCCTGCTCGAGTTTTTTGCTGGCGATGAGAGGAGGCGCTCTCCCCACTCTTCCCCCCGCCGCCCACTCTTCCCCCCGCCGCCAGGAAGACAAGAGAGCGCTGTTTCGTTTTGGCCCTGCCCCCCCCACCGTGCTGGGCTCAGCCGTGCGGGGGAGGCAGGACTGGCGGCAGCGATCTTCGACCTCGAACGCCATGGGCCCGTCCGTCAGTTGTGCCCCCCCCCCTCCCCCACGGGCTGCCTGAAAGGGGGGGATTTGGAAAGGGGGGGTTACGAAATTTGCTGCATGCAGCTGGTTTCGGCCCCGCCGAGGGGTCCATTCCTCGACAGATGGCCGCCTCCCGGCGCCGGGAGGCGCCGGGAAAATCAGCTACGTGAGCTGATTCTCAACCCCCCCTTTTGCTATCCCCCCCTTTCGCCGGGCCCGAGAGACCAGCTGCGCTCGTGGTGATCGACCACGGAGGCAGAAAGCTTCGTCGGCGAAATCAGGAGCACAAGCAGTGACATAGACGCAAAAACTCGTAGGTCCGCGCGGGTTTCTCGGATCGGCGCTGGCGGCGCCTCCGGCGCCGCCTCCGGCGCCGCCCCTTTGCTATCCCCCCCTTTCGCCCGACCCGAAGGTTGGTGGTCCCCAAACGTGGTGGTGAGAACACCCGGTGGTGAGGTTTGGGCGATTTGGGTAATGGTTTTCGAGCGCTGGCTGGCCCAGGAAACGCAAAACCTCGTGGCGACCGCGTGTCCCCAAACCCGGTGGTGACCCAGAACTATTTTTTGGGGGAATCGGGGTCACCAGGCAGGCTGAGGCTGAGGCTGTGATTGCGAATGCCGTTGCCACTGCGACTGTCATCGCGAATGCGACTGCGATTGTGAGAACAGCATAATTCTACAACTGGATTCTGATCTGAATCTTAAGGAGAATGCTTCCATATATGCTTCTACACATCGCTGTTAGGTTGCTTTGCCGGGATAATTTTTTTGGGGAATCGGGGTCACCACCGGGTGTCTCACCACCTGGTTTGGAGACCACCAAGAAGGGTGCGAGGCCCTGCCCCCGGGCGCCCGCGCCCCGCAGCGGCAGGCCTCGCCCCACCGCCGGGCAGCGGCCCCCGCCGGTGGGCTCCACTGCCCCGTGCGCTCGCCAAGGTCCCCTGGGGGGCGGGCCCTCGCCAGCTAAAACGACGCGAAGATCGGGACAAAATCGGATCGGGATAACTCGAAATCTCTGAGAATCGGCGGGTTCGGAGGATGTATTGGGCGCCGCGGCCGCTCCAGAGCGTTCCGGAACGCTCTGAGAGCGCTCCGGAACGCTCTGGATCGATTTATCCCGATCCTAGCCCTGTTTTACTTCTCCAGCTCTGTGCCAGGCCTCCCCAGGTGAATCAGGAGGGGAAAAAACACACAGACACAATGAATCGCCCATTCCCCAGAAGGTAGGGGAAACTGTGGGAAGTGGGGGGGAGGACAAGAGCCTAGAAGATATGGGGAAATATGGGGAATAGTTTTATTTGTGTGTATTTATTTGTGTGTCCTGGGGCCTCCCCAGGTGAAGTCGGGCCAACATCCATGCTCCCGTTTCTCCGTTTCTGAGCCTCCCAAGCGAGCGTGCTCTCTGCTTCTGGAATGAGCAACACTACATCTACATGCCGTTCGTGATCCACCAGTCTTTTTCTTGCTCGCCTGAGCCGCGCCGACGCGCACTGGGGCGTATGGCCCTCCTTTCTTGCCCTTCTTAGGCCTCCCAAGTGAAGTCGGAGTAGAGCGGGCCGATGCATCCCCGATGCGGCTCGATGTGTGGACCGAGTTTCTCCACGCCAGCGTCGCCGATGCATCGGCGAAGCATCGGCGATGTGGCGCGATCCTCCGACCCCATCGTCGAGAGATCTATACATCTCGGCGCAGCCCGCCAATATCAAATCGGGGGTGGGGGGTGTTTTCACAAAAGTCAGCATCAGAGGTGCAGGGTCCGAAAGCAGTACCCCTAGGGAAGGGGCCAGGACTTCATGGAGCCAAGGATCGAACAAATCGTATCGGCGGATGTCAGAGCTCCTCCTCCGCGGCCGCCCTCTTCTGCCTCCCGCCCGCCTGTGTACAAATCTCCCAGCAGCGCTCCGCTTAATTCGGTTTTTGATCGATCTTGGCCTTTTGGTGGTGAAATCCCGAGGGGGCTCCGAGAGCACTTGCGGTCCTCTTGGGGCCTCTTGGAGGCATATCGGAAGCATCTTGCGCTATCTTGGGAGCCATTTCCGGCTACCTTGCGCTATCTTGGGGGCCACCTTGGAGCATGGGGGCCTTTTTGGAGCCATCTTTGGCCATCTTGGGCGCTCTGACCGCTCGTGCCCCCCCCCAACGTCTCATCGAGGAGAGGGGAGGGTACCCATCCCCGAATGGAAAAGGAGTTCTGGAAGAGGAAGGAAAGAACTTGTTAGACCACCTACGCTTAGAGGGTTGGTCGGATTCGCCCAGCAGCGCCCCGCTCAACGGTCGGGATTTTTTGGTTAGCGTGTCACGCCGCTGGTTCTGGCCCACCACGCGTCGGCGCGACACGCTAACCACTTCATGGCCCCCAAGCGTCAACGTCGCGAGCCTTTCGCAGCTCGCAGCTTCCCGCCCTGCGGAGCGGGACGACACGCTATCCGCCTGCAGGGCGTAGCGTGTCGCTGGGGCCGCCGCCGCGATGCTAAGCAAAAGTTCCCGACCGTGGGCTACGGACGTGGTGCGTGTTCGCCACAGCTGCGACCAAGAGCTGCTCCTCGTCGCCCTCGTCGTCGCCCTCCCTGCCCCGGCCGAGGGCCAAGACGAGCACCGTCTCGCACATGTGGCGCGTGTCCGGCGACAAGAGGAGCGGGGGGCGGGCCCACGGGGAGGGGGGAGGGAGGAGGAGGACGAGGAGGAGGACGAGGAGGAGGAGGAGGAGGAGGAGGAGGAGGAGGAGGAGGAGGAGGAGGAGGAGGAGGAGGAGGAGGAGGAGGAGGAGGGTTGACGAGGAGAGCGGGAGGAGAGCGCGGCCGAGCTGTCGTCGGGGGCGGAAAAGAGGAGGGTGACGACTAGGGGGGGTGGATATCATGGCGTGGGCCATGATATTTCCCCAGATTTCATGGCGCCTCTGCTTATTTCATCACGTCCCTGGCCCCCCCCTGCTGGGCCGCGCACATGCCGCCGGTCATGATTTGCACCCCCCCCCCCTCTTGGACGCCCCCCTCTTGGCCGCTCCCGATGTCGGGCAGCGCCCGGTTTTAGGCCCCCGCAGGCGCGCCCCTCCCCCCCGGGATGGCTGTCGCCTGCTGCGAGCAGCGGCCGTCCCGGGGCGGCCGGCGCAGAGCGTCGGAGGGGCGCCGCTACTCCGGCACCCATCGTGTGCGGTGCGCTCTTTTGGACGCTTGCGGTATCGGGGAAGTATGGTTGTGGTAGAACATGGTGGGCCTGTTTTCCACCACCACCACCATAAGTTGGAGGGGAGGGGGTCTTCCTCCTCTTCGTCCTCCACCTCCTCTACCTCCTCCTCCTCTTCGTCCTTCTCCTCCTTTCACTCCTCCTCCTCCTCCTCCTCCTCCTCCTCCTCCTCCTCCTCCTCCTCCTCCTCCCCCTTCAACTTAGGGTAGTGGTGGTGGAAAACATGCCCATCAGAACAGGTGTTTGTGGCGGAGGGGGGGGAACATGATGATTATCAACCGCAGGGTGAGCATCAAGGTGGTGGCGTGGATGCTGTATGTGACATTACTTTTGTGCGTGCTGGTTCCCCCTCGTTGTGGGTCGTTGACAGGGTGGTCACGGTCTTGTCCATGATGATGACGATGATGTTGTCTCTGGCGATGTGGCTGTTGGTGCGGTGGTGATCCGCACGTTGGTGGCGCGGAAATGGAGGCGTATGGGTATTTGTCCTGCAGGGGAGGGGGGAGGGGAAAAAGAGGAAATGGAAGAAGACGATGTGAGGAGGAGGGGAGGATCATGAAGAATCGTATTCGGACCATAATGACGAGAAGGAACTTGACGAGCAGGAGGAGGAGGAAAAGCATGATGATAGACAGTTTGAGAGAAATGGGGGGAGGAAGCAGTTGTTGATGATGACCAGGAGGAGAAGGAGGAGGAGCTGGATGGGGTATATGAGATATGATATTGAGAGGAGGAGGAGGAGGAGGAGGAGGAGGAGGAGGAGGAGGAGGAGGAGGAGGAGGAGGAGGAGGAGGAGGAGGAGGAGGAGAGGAGGAGGAGGAGGAGGAGGAGGAGGAGGAGGAGGAGGAGGAGGAGGAGGAGACGGAGGAGGAGACGGAGGAGGAGGAGGGGGAGGAAGTCCAGATCAAGCCCAGGATGCATCAACGATGCTGCAATGCACCCTCTCTCCCCACGCCCCTCATCACAAGGCCGCACGAGCCTTCCCTTCCAAAACAGGAAGCAGCGCCCCATTGAAAAACGAGCACCCGATTGGCCTGCCGTTTAGGCAAGCGCCCCGTTTTCAAAAGAATCTGCTTTGCGTCCTTGTAGCGAGTGATCCGGAGTGCGGAAAGGTAATCAAGATCATCAAATTCGACGAGGTGTCCAGCGAGAGCACCCTTAAGGTAGGATCATCAAGTTCGAAGAGGTGTCCAGCCAGAGCGCCTTTTTTTGGAAAGGAACCGCCCCTTCCGCCCTTGTAGCTGTTGCGCACTAGTACACGTCTCAGCATGAAATATGACAACGTCGCAAAGCGAGGACCACATTTTGATAAATAATCGTCCTCCATCCTTGCAGTTGCTGAGAACTTTGCGAGCTACTGTGTGCGGTGCTGAGGCGAGAGCTTTATCTAAACAGGAGACGCCCTGCTTATTTGTAGCTGTTGCTAACTTCTGATGCGACTGTACGCGGCGCTACGGCGAGAGCTGTTGTTTGAACACGAACCCGCCTCCTCCTCGAAGCTGTTGTGCGCAGCGCTTAGGCGAGCGCCGCATTTGACAACGAACCAGCCTCAATACCTAAAGCTTTTGCCAAAGGTTAAGACGAACTTGTGCGCGGTGCTTAGGCGAGAGCTGCATTCTGAAAACGAACCAGCAACAATTCTCGAACCTGCAAACTTTTCAGACGAACTTGTGCGCAGCGCCAAGACGACGGCAGCATTGACAAATCGACCGCCTTCTATCCTTATGAGTTCTTTAGCTTCAGGGTCGTAAGATGCAAGGAAGTCTCATGCACAACGCGCGGTCCGGCCAATGGACACGTCTGGTGGTGCGACAAAGGGTGGAGTTGTTTATGAGGAAGAGGGATAGTGGAGGAGGAGGAGGGGGTGAGAGTGCATGTGGATTGGGAGGTTGAGGGTGAGAGGAGGGGTGGGCCTCCCTTTCCATCTTCCCCTCCCCGTCCCCTCCCTTTCTCCTGCCTCACTTCCCTCCCCCGCTCCCCTGCCCTCCTTACTCTCTGTACTCCTGGTCCCCTCCCTCCCCTTTCCTCCTCTCGCTCCCCTCCGTCCTCTCTCCCCCCTCTGTGTTCATCGCCTCCCCCTTTTGTCGTCTCCCCGATCTCGCCCCGTCGAGCCTTCCCTGTCCCGTTCCCCTAGGCTCGGGGAGAGGAAACGGTGAGGGAGGACGATCTGGTGGAGTGCAAGAGGGAGCAGGGGGATGAGGATAAGGAAGGAGAGGGAGGAAGGATGACGATGACGATGCTGCTGCTGATGCTGATGAGGAGGAAGAGGAGGAGGAGGAGCAGGAGGAGGAGGAGCAGGCGGAGGAGTAGGAGGAGGAGGAGGAGGAGGAGGAGGAGGAGGAGGAGGAGGAGGAGGAGGAGTAGGAGGAGGATGAGGAGGAGGAGGATGGGGATGAGGACGACGACGACGTCGATGACGTTGATGCTGACAATGACGATGACGATGCTGATGATGCTGCTGCTGATGCTGATGATAATGATGGTGATGGTGGTGGTGGCGATGAGGCTGTTGCTGCTGCTGATGACGACGATGACGATGCTGCTGATGATGCTGGTGATGATGGCAAAGCTGACGACGATGACGACGATGATGGTAATGACGATGATGCTGATCATGATCATGATGCTGCTGCTGATGATGACGCTGATGTTGACGATGAGGATGGTGATGCTGATGCTGCTGATGATGCTGAGTATTTTGATGATGCTGCTGCTGCTGATGATGATGCTGCTGATGATGTCAATGCTGATGCCGACGCTGCTGCTGCTGATGCTGATGCTGATGCTGGTGATGCTGCTGCTGCTTGATGATGACGATGGTGATGCTGGTGATGCTGATGCTGATGATGGTGATGATGAGGCTTCTGCTGCTGATGATGATGGTGATGATGGTGATGATGCTGATGATTGTGGTCGTGGTTGTGGTGGTGGTGGTGATGATAGTGATGAGGTGTTGAGAGGGACGCGCGGGCGAGGATAACAGCACGGACCGACGAGTTGAGATCGATCAGCAGAGGGAGAATGTGGGGACGAGGCATGGCGTAGTCGGCTGGTGTCCTCGTCTTCATTCCGCCCTCCCATCCGCCTGCTCCTTGTTCCTCCTTCCCATCCCTCCTCCTAGATCCTCCTCTTCATATCCTTCACCTCGTTCTCACCATCCTCTTCCTATCCCTCCGTCCCTCCTGCTTTCTCCTCCTGCTCATTTTCCTACTTCTTTCCCTTTGCCCCCTACATCCTGTTTCCCCTCGTCTCTCCTCCATCCGCCCTTCCTCCTCCTCCTCCATCCGCCCTTCCTCTTCTTCTTCTTCTCCTCCTCCGCCTCCTCCTTCTCCTCCTCCTCCTCCTCCTCCTACTCCTCCTCCTCCCCCCCCTCTCCCCCTCAACCTTCCTCCTACTTAACCTGCTCCTGCTGTTGCTGCTGCGGCTGCTCACTCTCCCCCTTCCTTCTTCTTCCTCCTCCCTGAAAGCTCATCCACCTTTCCCTCCCTCTCCTCCATGTCCTTCCCCTCCTCCTCCTCCTCCTCCTCCTCCTCCTCCTCCTCAGCCCCTCTTGCTCCTCCTGCTTCTCCTGCTTCCCCTGCTTCTGTTTATGCGCCACCTCCTCCCTCCCTCCTCCCTTATCGCCCCTCCATCTGCCCTCTCTCTCTCTCTCTTCTGCTGTTGCTGCTGCTCCTGCTGCTGCTGCTGCTCCTCCTCCTCCTTTTTTTTGACGTTCGGCAAACATGAGGCGGGGCCTGTTGCGTTATGTGATGATGCAAAAGCGCTCGCCGACTCAGGCGGAGTGAGAAGCAACTGCCGCCTGGCTGGCGCAGCAGAGAAGGCCAGGCAATGAGAGCAGGCTAAGAAAGTGGGCCCTCAGGGGCGCAGAGTATGCGCCGGCCAGGCGGTGAAATCCCACTCCTTCTCACCCCCCACCTACATCCCAATCCCTTCCCAGGTCAGGGCCCTCACCGAGGGACAGTACGGCAGTTGCTGAAAAAGCCCTCACCGAGGGATTCTGTGCAAATCTGTTGGCAGCGCACCTCCCACCTCTAACACCTTCTCCTCTATTCATCCACTTCAGCAGCCTCCATCTCCAACATCCCGAACTCAAGATAACCAACACTACCGAACAAAGTGTGCAGTCGATGTCGCCCCATGGCTGCTCAGTATTGCGTGCACGCAGGGGGATAACACTTCGCGTGGCATCTGAATATGACATGCTGTCTCCCCAAGAGATCAAAGTCTCAAGGGCATCCCCCCATAGCATCCACAGACTCACTACCAAAACACGCATTGCAGCCGATGCCGTTCCCTGGCTGCTTGGTCGCGCGTGCACGCGCGAGTTTAAATGTTTCGCATGGCTTCAGCCTGCTCCTCCACCCCACCGCTCATCACCTCTGGCTCCTTCGCATCCTCACCATCATCACGCCAAAAATGACTGGTGTGGAGATCCCTCCTCAGCCCAGC